CCAAAGAAATACATGTATTTTCCTAAAAATTTCGGCTCCGAAAACTCCGAAAAAAAAAAATCCGATCAAATAAACAAATACACACACACACAAAAGATAGGGTCTCGATAGAAATGCTTTTGCATCGCTGTTGCAGCGCAAAAAGCACAGAAAGTCAAAATTCCCTCTATAAATATAAAATAAATATTCTCTGTAAGTAGCGCAGCCACTCCGAATCAGTACAAGCGGCAGCACTTCCAAGAACTACTGGCGGTTGGCAAGGCTATCGATGGCTCCCTCGTTCTGTTGTATGAAAGTTATGTACAAATAATTTGAATTCAGTTTCGATTCCTTGTTGAAAATCAATACCAATTTCTTACCGAAATAAGTAAACTAAACCTAAAAAAGCTCACTAACACCCTGGCGGGGTCGAACTCTCGATCTTCCGCACCAGAAAAACATCGTTGTACCATAACTCCATTTTTCCAAAGTTGCAAAGCAAGCGATTTTGATAAAAGTGCTATTTATCAAAAAACTTACAGAAGCAGCTGTCAGATATGGTGATGAGAACATCGGGAGACAAACCCCGCCAGCCAGAGCGGTTGTTATACTGCCAAGAAGCAAACACGTATTGCACAGATCCCCGTGGCTGTAAAATCAATTGCAGGATTTTCCTTCTTTTTTTTTCGCAGAAGCAAATTTTGAATAAAGATACTGGTGGCGAAACATACAGAATTTCCGCACAACAATTAGTATACATCTCTTTTCAGCACCAAAATACGGTTCTGATAAATTAAAAATAGTAAAAGTGGGGGCGGGAACACTGTGTAAAATGGGTAATGTCTGAAAGGTATGAGGGAACAGAAAAATAACAAGAAACGAATTAGAAAAACTGTGCCAAGAACTGAGACAGGTGCACTGCATTAGTTCCCGTTCTACTGCTGTATTGTAGGTGAGGAAGAGGGTCATGTCACTGTTGGCTAGCGCAACTTAGAATATTTCAACATCCGAAGTTTGGTGCCCTTGCAAATTCCCGCTCTATTAACGTCCCATAACCCCGAACAATGGTTATCATGCAGCGGCATGGGAAAGAATGGAGAGGTGAGCTTAAAACGAAAACAATGCGGCATTTGTTGAGCAAAGCGGGATATCCGAAGGCGCGCGGATTTGGCAAGAAGTTTCGTGAAGATCGCTTTAATTTGTGATCTGCTGTTTCGGTAGTCATTCTTGATTTTTACGCGCTAAAATCCTGTACATAAATGTGAATGATCCGGGATTGATTCATTGTTATTGTTCTTGTTCATCGTCCTATTACTCCATCAGTGTCAATGAAGCTACCATCATGTCTTCGGCGTCCCCGTACAGTTCAGCCGAGAGGAAGCACCGTCAAGACAGCATAAGTGGGCCTGCGAGGAGCATCGACAGGGCGCGATTTGCCATTGCCAGGCGAGGCGCGTCCAACACAATCTCCAAAACATGACAGCGGAGGGAAATCGCTATCAAGGCGGTTTATCGGGTGGAATAGTTTTTGACAAAATCAACACAGAAAGGCCTACCCAACAGCAGTGAAGTGAACTGTGACGAAGCGATGGCTTTTCGAAAAGTTGAGATGATAAGGGCACGGAAAAACATACTGGTTTCAAATGTTAACAAATGAAGGTGAGTAAAAAATCCATAAATCCTCATACAGAAACATTCAGGAAAAGAATGCATTCCGAGTTTTTAGCAATTTAATCCTAGGCTTATATTCATGGGGGGCGATATGTTCGCCAATTCAGTGTCCCGCACCCTCTTCCCTCCCCCCCCCCCCCCCCCCCCCCCCCCCCCCC